ACCATGGCTAACCTATAAATCTACAAAAGTGCATATACATATTATTTATTTTAAATAAAATATAAATATTATTTAAATATTTTAATTATAAAATAATATTATTTTAATTATTTTCTAACTGTTTAATATTTTAACTAAGGGAAATATATCTCTCATGTTGCATGAGATAATTTTATCTCATGCAACACATTAAAAGAATGGGTGGGAGCTAAGGAGAAGAGAGAAAAAGAAAAAAAGTGAATCTCACTCACTTTTTATCTATGTATGTAGGGGTGCTAAACGAGCCAGGGGCCTTTGACTCGGCTCGTGAAAGCTTGAGCTTACATGTCTAAAATTGATTATGGGAACCAGGCTTGGACTTGTATAAAAGCTCGTTTAATAAAAATATCTCAGGCTTCAATTCAAAAGCTCGGCCTTAGAGCCTCTCAGGCTGGCAAAATATATTAATTTTTTTTATTTTATATTTTTTATACTACTTGTGATAGCCCCCTCTCTTCTCAATCTATTTCATCCCATTTTATTAATTGAACAGACTTCTTTAATGATTTTGTTTTATATTATGTTGTTTGGATATACATTAAATTTATGAATATTTATGGAATTACTAGTGCTGTTGATTGTATATTTTGTTTGGATAAATTTTTGTTGTCTTATTTTTTTTAAACAGGGTAACAGGCTAAACCAGACTTTTATTTTTTGTAAATAAGACATGCCACAGGCTGAAATTATATTCTTAACAGGTAACAGGCTTGGTCGGGCTGACACATTTAAACACAGGCTTAGTCTTTTAAGACCAAAGCTCGGCTCGGCCCGTTAACACCCCTATATGTATGAAATAAAATTATCTCATATAATATAATATAATATGAGAGATATGTTTCCTTTTAACTAAATGCATGCCCTCATACCACTTAATTGACACTCTAAATCTATGATGCATGGACACTGACACGGGACACGAAACGACACGACACGCCGACACGTTAATTCTAAAAAATGGTATATTTCGACACGTTGGGACACGTTTTGATATTAAATAATATTTTTAATATATATAATATAATTTATATTTAATACATGTAACAGTCCATAATAAGTCATATAACCAATTAAATATTCAAATTTGATAACATACATATAAATTTTTTTTCGTACCTTGTTAATTTTTCATGTCAAATTTCATAACAGAAAAAAATTGATTTATAAATGATTTTTTTATTTTTAATTAATAAAATAAAATTAAGACTTAAAAAAAAACGTGTCGGAGCGTTGACCACATGTCAGAAAAAATTGACTGCGTGTCAAAAAAATGTGTTGGAGTGTGTCAAAAAATTAACCACGTATCTCAAAATATTGACCATGTATCAGAACATATCTCACGTATTCGACACACATTTTTTTTTTGAAAAATGACGTGTCCGGATATATGAGCTCTAAATCACATATTAGAAACCAAAATATCCTCAACAGTTTTCCCTTTGAGCCTCATCTGCTTCAATCCCCTCTAAATTAACCGGACTTAGGGCCTGTTTGGTATGATGTATAAAGCATGATAGTATAAGCTTTTACTATACGTTATGACATTTTCAGTTGTTTGGTGTGACCATCGTATAGTATAAGCTTATACAACATGACCCCTTTATACATCAAAATGATGTATAACTTAATCCGGCCTAGGAGTGGTGGATTATGCATGATAAGAGATTAATGTATTAATATTACTTACAAGTACAATTCCCAAGAACTAATATATCATTTCAATATTTATATATTAAAATAATTTTTTTAATATATTAATTTTTAAAATATTGGAGGATATTATATTATACAATATCATACCAAACGCTGGATAGTATTAAAATTTAATCAGGTCTTATACAATCAGGTCTTATACTATCAAGTCTTATACTATCAGGTCTTATCCTATATTATGCACCAAACATGCCCTTAAAACAATAGTCTAGCTAATACTACATAGGTCAATGTTTATTAGCTCTAATTAATTATAGGGTATTTTTCTTGATTCTTTTGCCTGCAAATGATTATATAATTGTTCACATTAAAAATAATAGAAACTTAGGGTTTTCTTTCTCCCCCTTTTCTTTCTTTTTTTGTTTTAAAATTATAAGTTATGACAGTGACCACATATGTTCATTATCATCCATCATCTTTAGAATTGCTAATCCTTCTTCAAAGATTCAAATATCAGTTTTTCCTGACTTCAAAAATTCATAATTTCCTTATCTATCTCGTTTTGCATTTTTATTTTTTTCTAGTTATGACTAATTTTTTTCGTCTTCTTTTCATCGAAGAGTGATAAATATACAGAGCGTACTAGAGAAACAAAGCAGATCAGCAAGCAAACTTGAAGAACACTGAAAAACGTAAGACAAGCAACTTGATATAGACGATTTAATGTTTGACTGACTACTTGTAATAAAGAAAAAGTTATTGATATAAAGAAACAAAAATGAAGCTTCCATGTAACGAATTAATTTCCCTTTAAGCTTTTTTTTTTTTTTTTAATTTTCTTTCACCCTTATGTGTCTATAGCATTGTATTTTCTACTCTGAACAACTATCATAACTTCTCTTTTTTATGATTCTGTGTTCTATCTAGCTTTTTGATCAGAGTACTTTAACTTTGCTTCTATTTTTTTTTTCTCTCTTTTTCTTTTTGTTTTGTTCTGCTAAGATGTTACAATTACTCTTCTTAGTAATGGATTGACCCAAAAGGGCATGGTCCTAACTAACGCATGCCAACATAAAAAAGCTATTAAATTTCTCAAACAATAATATATCTCTCTTCGAGATGTTACCCTCACAGGTTTTAGTTTTTTCTCTTTCTTTTTTCTGGTCAAGATTTCAGTTCCCTTTTAATTCCAGCTGGATGAAATTTAATTAAACTCAAGTTAATGAGAGGGAAATGAAAATATATATATATCCTTACCTTTATAAATTAACAATTTTATTTCCTTATTTTTTTTGGTAAACCCTTATTTTTTACTCTATTTAATTTCAATTTATTGAAAATATTTCATATATATAGTACCGAGAACAATTATTAATTAAATTTTTATATTATCAATATTTTATTCAAGTTATGTCATTAAATAGTCATATCATATTTAATTGGCTAATAACTTAATATAATGAAAGTGTGATGGTATTAATAATATGGGTAAGTTATATTTATAAATTTTTTATTTATAAATTTTTACAAATTACACTATGTATTATGGGTAATACAAGCTCAAGTAATATGTACTACCCATGATACATAGTATAGTTTGTAAACAATTTTTTTTTTATAAATATAACATTGCTCTAATAGTATATACTATTACATAATGCGGATTTTCCACTTTAATATCTAATTGTATTTTTCTAAAACTATCACTAAATGATTCAAAGAAAAGTATTAAAAGAATAAAATTTTAAATATATTTTATTAATTACTAAAATATTCAAATTTAATAAAAAATGATAAAATCACAAATATTTACTATTCTCCTATTACAATTTCCTTCACGCACTTTCTGAATTCAAATAATTATTGGGTACTTGGACTGTAATACTTTGCTTCAGATCTTATCTTATATTTACTAAATGACATTCTAAATTCAATTCAATTACATGTATATATGTTTTGTGCCATCTGTTTTATTTTTACTTGATTGATATTTTTCGTTATATAATAAAAATTAAACTTAAATATTATTTATTATTAATATCATTTAATTTTATCGAATTAAAAATAAAAAAATATTAATTGATAGACACGTAAAATTAGATGATGATAATAATAATAATAATAATAATAATAATAATAATAGAGAAAGAGTATATTTTAAATTTAGAATAAAAAAAAGGTTTGGTGTTTGTCTTTTAAAGGACATAGAACTGTGTCCTTTTGACGAAAGAAGGAAATATATAATGAAAATCATGTGAAAGAAAATATGTGATTCTTTTTTTATTTTAAATTTTAAATAAAAAATACTAATTTTAATTAAAATGACCATCCTTTAAAAGAATAAATATTTTGTCGAAAAATAAAATCCTATGTATTTTACATACATATCTTACATAGTCAATATTTAACGATAGAATGTGTGGTGGATTGGGCTTCTTACACGACCCATTTCTCAATTTCACAGTCTGAGGACAAAACATCTGCAGCTCAAAGCTTTTGGAATCTTTGATAACCACCTATACCTATAGTGCAAGGATCTTTGGCTATTTCTTTATGAACTGGCGCATTCTGTGTTTCTTGAACGACCTATACATGAATGCACCACCCTACTTTTTCCGTTATATATACGATAGAAACCACCACACTTTATCATAAACCAATAGAGACATAATTCTTCTCATATCAATGGCTCTATCTCCATTCACATAATAACCCATCGGTTTACGTAACCAGTCGGTTAAACATCTCTTAACAACCTACATATAAACTAATAAAATAATAAGGTTTGTCTTATATTGTTTCCTTGAACATTTTGATAATAGATAGATTTATTTTTATTTATTTTTCGTTTTACCGTACCGTGACATATCATTATCTTTCCCAAAAGCAAAAGTTTGGCGATATTCACTTCACACACACAAAAAGAAATACGTTTGGTGAAATTGTGATAAAATCCCAATCCTATCCTTAATCTTCTGATCTCACAATTCACATGTACCTCATGACCCCTTAGGGGTATGTCGTGAACACCACATAAGAGCAGCATGTTCCACGCTTGGAGACCACCACATCAGAAGCTACTTTATGTATTATTCTCTTTTGAACTGTCTTGTTTCTGTTTCTTAATTTGAGTCATCTCTACGCTGAAGTTAATATGCCAAGTTTAAAGTACAACTCTCACGCGCACGCACTCGAGCCTAGCTATAAATAAGTTGATGAGTGAGCACAACCAATAGCTCAAGACAAGACATTATTTTCTTTCAAATACAAACCTAAGAGGATATATAGTATTCTCAGATAGAATTACCATGTCATTGTCCAGCGCAGCTTCAGCTACCAGTTTGATCAAACAGGGTGGCACTAGTTTGATCCAACAGACTGCCACTTTGCCACAACAGAAAGTTTACCTTCCCAACCCATTTGATCTTAATGACCTTCAGATCCTCGACAAAGTTTATCTCACCCACGTCAGTGATGATGAAACTTGCGATACCAAGATCATTTTCGACCTTGTGTCCAATGTTATACTTCAGGTAATTTATTCACATTCATTCTCCCACTCCCACCATGTCAATTATTTATAATTTATTTAAATAATAGTAAAATTTCTACCTTGTCATTATAAACTTTTATTATTATGGACTAACACGACATCACTTTATTATTATATAGTACAACTAACTTTTTAATTATTTTACAGAGTTATTCACAAATTCCCATAACCAGTTTCAAACCAGAATTCTCTACACTGAAGCTGATTTCTTGTCAGGTTATTTTTTTTAACTATATGTTATATGATCTATTAGTTTACATTGGTAAATGAAAGTTTTAAGCAAATTATGTCTTGCTAATTAATAATTGAGACAACGATGACACAGATGATAGCCACACGTAGTGCTGCACATTGTGCTCACCAAACAACATTGTGGATTCTTCAACACCTGAGATCTTACTCCTGGGATGCAAAAGCACTAATAACTCTAGCTGCTTTCACTTTGGAATATGGGAATGTTTTGCACCTTAATCGGGTCCCAACAACGGACCTACTTGGAAGCTCATTGAAACAACTGAATCAAGTTCAAAGCAGAAGGGTCTCTACTGATGTTACTGAATTGGTCACCTTCATAGTGCAAGTGTTTCAGGACGTTAAAGAATTGGCAACGTGGTCTGCTGAAGGTTATGACCCAGAGGATGTTCCTTCCTTGACTGAAGCCTTGCAAGAGATCCCTGTTGTTGTATACTGGACAATTGCTGCCATTGTTGCTTCTACTGGCAACCTCTTCGGTGTACCGTAAGTTGTGGTCTATTCAACTTATTATTTCATATATCTAACATATCATGTGAAATATTTTTTAGTACGAAGTTCCAAAAGAATGCTACTGACTTTGGAATTGTGTTACAGAATGTGACTATCCCATTATTATATATAACTGCAGTTGTGTTGTTTATTTTTGTTTTTTGTTTTTCAGGGAGGATAGATTATCAGATTATAGGGACAGGCTTTCTGATAATGTTAGGAAGTTGAAAGTGCATCTAAAGAAATGCAAAGAGCAAATAGGTTAATGAATTAATTGCTTCCTGTTCCATCAATTCTTTGAAGTTTGGAACGCAAATGCTATAATAAGAGCTTATCTCTACGTGGTGCAGGCTATGTAGATGATTACTGGATCCGCATGAAAATCTTTGACAAGCCTAAAGATATTGTAGATTGTTTGAAGGCTCTGATCTATCGAGATGGAACTCAGAATCCCCGAATATATGAAGGCACCAACCAGGTTAAAACGGTAAGTTTTGCTGAATGCATCAACTTGTCTCATATTTGGAATCTCCAAATTAGAAAGAGTTCAATGATTTTTAATTTTTAATTTTTTTTTTTAAATTTTATGTCTCAAACAGGGTATTGAAGTGTTCAGGCAGAAACATGTGTTGGTGTTTATTTCGAGCCTGGACAGCATTGACGATGAGATTCTGCTTTTAAATTCAATCTATGACAGATTGCAAGAAGAACCAAAAACAATGAAAGGTTTAAAGAAAGAAGATTTCAAGATTTTGTGGATCCCCATTGTGGACGACTGGGATGATGCCCTTAAAGATAAATTCAAAGCTTTGAGGAGTAAAATCAAATGGTACTCAGTGGAGGACTTCTTTAAGTTACCAGGTCCAGGGCGCAGGATAATAACAGATCCAGATAGATTGCATTACAGGGATAATAAACCTATTATCCCAGTGTTCAATCCTCAAGGTACCATAATAAATGAAAATGCTATGGAATTGATTTTTGAATGGGGGATAGACGCGTTCCCTTTTAGGAAAAGTGATGGTGATGATCTTAAACTAAAATGGAAGTGGCTTTGGGATGTTCTCAAAAAAGCAATTCCCGGACTAGAGGTAAGCTCAGACTTATTATATATATATAAGCAATGCAAATTTCAACTTTGTTAATAAAATATTCTTATAATGATCCATATATATATATGAAATTATTTATTTTTACCATGTGATTCAGGAAAAAGGAGACAGATACATCTTTATCTATGGAGGTGCCAACAATAAGTGGATTCAAGATTTTACACTCGAAATGGAAAAAATAAAAAGGAATGAGAATATTAAGCGTGCAGATGTTATAATAGAGCACTATCTGTTGGGGAAGGATGATCCTAACCGTGTTCCTAGTTTCTGGATTGGAATAGAAAGAAAGAAACAGAATAAGAAGCATCGAGAGGAGGTGGATTGTGAGATTCAAAGAATTGTGAAGAGTTTGTTTTGCCTCAAAAGAGACCCACAGGGATGGGCTATTCTCAGCAAAGGGGGTAACATAAAGATTCTTGGTCATGCCGAGCCTATGTATCAAACTGTTGCTGAGTTTCAAAATTGGAAAGAGAAAGTGCTTGTTAAAGAAGGGTTTGACATTGCTTTCAAAGAATACTATGATGCTAAGGTCAAAGAAATATCTGCTAGTCAACCATGTGCAATTATCAATGTTGATAGCTATAGTGCAAATGTCATAGCAACCATAACATGCCCAAATCCCACGTGTGGGCGTGTGATGGAGGTTACATCTGTTAATTACAAGTGCTGCCATGGTGATGCTCCAATCAGTGGCAAGATCTGATTCAAGAGGAGAAGTATCTACCCGAGTTTGTTTTGTTGAAGTTCTAAGTTCTGGTTCAATTTATGTTTGTTTACTATGTGTTTGTGTGTGTCCAAACAAATGCATCGTGTGTTATAATCACCGGCTGTTCTCCCCCTTGAAGGGGTAGAAATAAAATAATGCCTTCAATATGTCTGTCTGTTTTTAAAAATCTTTATCAAATAAAATTAGTTATGCGTGATAAAAAGTCGAACAACTCCCCCTCTATTTTGTTCCCCGTTATTTTGCAGCATCTTTGGTAGTGGATTAAACCTAATGATTAATTTGTACTTGCTTTTTTGCGATATAGTCATCAGTATATGAAAATTGATGAGTGTTGGTATAAAAAAGAATTTTGTTTAGAAATAAGAAAAGTCAGAGTGAGATATCTGCAAAGCAAATAATAAAGCGTAAGGGGAGTAACACTTATAAATTTATAAGATTAATCTTTCTCGTATTATAAGAGATATTTTTATCTCTTATATAATATAAAAATACGTGGAATTCATGTTTTTTTTCTTTCTCTCTTCTTTTCATATGAGTCCCATATATTTTTACATGTACGTAAGAAATAATATTGTCGCCTATAACATAAGATATATTAATCCAATAAAATGTCAGAAAAATATTTCTGCAATTACTGCAGATAAGTTATCAGTATTTACTCTCAAAATGACGTCGTTTTGAGATTAAATGATTAAAAAATTATAATTAAAAAATTATAATTATAAAGATTATAATAATCCTAAAATAAATTAAAATTACAAAAACACCATGATTTCGGTCCCAAAATAATGTCGTATTGAACTTATTGCAGATAATTTATCTGCAGTGACTGCAGAAAAAGCAAACCCATAAAATAAATGAGAGCAATATGAATAAATCATTTCATGTTAAAATTTCATATGACTGGTCATGTAAATTTTTTATATCTATCTCTTTTCTTCTTAATAATAATTAAATTACACCTATTTAATGCAAAAATGCGAAGGAAGATATAAATATAAAATTTTTAGCATTAGCGGAGGACAATATAATCTAAAAGATTCTTAAGCGTGAGATATTTAGTCCTTGGAGAAGACGTGTTAGCTCACTACTTGAGTTTTTTTTTTTTTGGAAAGTTGCTCACTAGTTGAGTTAAAGAACTAATAACATGATTTAGCAAAAAAAAGAAAAGAAGAAGAACTAATAACATGATTGATAAGTCCATGAAATGTGACTTAAAACATATGGTTATTGATATGAAAATGCTAGAAAAAGAATACTTTGTGTATAATTCATACCCCCAAATTACATTGAGCTGAAATGTGGTTGATTTAAATGCTAATGAGCTTCATTTTGATTTTGATTTTCATGCCCACATATTAATACTTCCCAAAGCAAAGAAGGAAGAAAGAAAAGAAAAGAAAAAAAGAAGAAATGAAAGTGGGCTGGTTATTGATATGAAAATGCTAGAAAAAGAATACTTTTGCAATGCAAGTCAGAAGAGCCCAGTTGAAGAAAGAAAAGAAAAGAAATTGGAAGAAAGAAAGACAAAGCAACGTTAGACACAATTGGAAAAGCATTCTGAAACCATTGAACCTAACCCTCGTAGTGCGAACCAACTCATTTTCATCCAACCACAATCCCAAACCTTCCATCTTGATTCTCCTTTACAAATCAAACCACCAAGCCACACCGGGTTTTTAATTTTGGTTTACCCATTGAGCCTTAGCCCCTCACCATTGTCCCTTAAGTGAGCGTTCAAACCAAAACACTGACCCTAGCCATTTTTATTCAAACAAAAAATGCCAAACACTACCCATAACTGATTGGGTGAGCTAGAGTTTGATAGGATTGTTGGCTGAAGCAATTTTTGGAGTGCGGTTACTGCCTTTGCAAAGGAAACGCACGATTGGGAGGAGCGTGTAGCATGTAATCGTCTCTGCATGTGGGAGCATCAGCTATAAAAGAGAAGAGCAAAGCATTGTAGGCACTTTTTTTCTCTCCATCTTTTCTATTTTTCGTGGTGGTTTGTTTTGATCTTTACATTTTTCCTTTTTTGTTAGTTTTTTCTTAGCACTGTAGCAGAGCTATTTTGTGGATATAGCTCCTGCCTCGTAATTTCCATTTGTTAGTTGTAATTTCTTTTTAACTTTCGTTTGCTGTTTTTGTAGCTCAAGCCTTAGTTATGAGCTAAACCTTTGAAGGTTGGATTTAGGTTACCTGAACCTCAGTGATGGTTGATTGCTAATTAATGTTGTTAATTTTTAATTCTCAATTGTTATTTTTTATTTCAGAAGCTGTCTGCTGACGTAGAAAGTGAAAAAAGTACAACTTTAATATTATAATTATGCATTCCCGGGAATGCATGGTTAAAGTCTGTTAAAAAGACATAAGTTTGTGTCCTTTAAAAGAACACTCTTTTTTTTCCCTATTTTTAATTATAGGAAAAATGTTTATCCTTTTAAATGACACAACTTATATCCTTTCACTCTCACAAAGATATGGGACCCATACCTTTATTTTTTTTGTCAACTCTCTTTCCTTCTTTATCTATCTCCTTCTCTCTATTAAAATGACACAACTTTACATCCTTTAAAATGACACACACTTTACCCTTAATTATATATGAATAATAAATAATTAGGCCAATCTGATAGGCTAGGTAATTTTAAGCTCTTTTAAAGACCAAGTTTTCGATCTACTTAGTTGAATAAACTTTTTTAGAAGTCAAATTTAGTTTGTTTGCTAAATAATTAGTCAAAATAGAGTAACAATAACTTCTTTATTTACCCATTTCCTAGCAACTATATTCTTTTATTCTTTTGGAGTTTATTGCCCTACATCTTATTGAGCTCGTGGATTCAGATGATCAACTGGAATGACTTTCCTGGAAGGTAGATATTTATATTATGTATATCCGGAGGATAAAATTTTCACCACATTGACCAGATTCCCATATCTGGCTAACCTGGTCAAAATAATCACTTGGGTTGTTAGAGTGCTTCTCCTATAGTATTGTGCAAGGGTTTAAGTTTTTATTTTAGAAATTTATCTTCTGTTATACTCACATATAGTGAATGAGTTTCTTTGTAAAGGGAAGAGAGAGAAAATATCAGTGAAATTCACTCACTTTTACATGAATGTGATAGAAAAAAAAATTAACAGTAAAAATAAAATTATTAAACCCAATATATAATATCAAAACTATGTGGAATTTGGATATTAAAGTAAGCAATGATGTTAGGTGAGTTTAGAGATCACAATTCAACCCAAAATTTTAGAAATTTAGATATATGGATCCTTCTACTTGGTGATCATTCATTGCAATTTTAACTAATGTGGGATTTTGCTTGTTCACATTTGAATTCGTCATCACTCAGTTCATTCAGTAATATGAGACTTCACTAACTAATACTTGAATTCCCAAACAAAATGTAAACATGAATCACTTAATTGGTTCAGTTAAATGGTATTAGTTCTTTTTTATATTTTTACGTAGGGTTTGCTTTTTCTACAATCAATGTAGATAACTTATTTACATTGAGCCCAAAACGATGTCGTTTTGAGATGAAAATCAAGATATTTTTGTAATTATAATTTATTTCAGGATTATAATAATATTTTTCATTGTAATTTTTTAATTTTCAACCTAAAGCGATGTCGTTTTAACAGCGAATGTAGATAACTTATCCTTTTAATACAAGTGGTGCACTTAACTATTGTTGAAAATGGTACGGAGGAGCTAAAAATCCTTTTAAGGGATACATTTACCAATTGGCCCAAATGATAAACCATAATAAGTGGGCTGATGCAATAAGTGGGTTGATGCTATATCACTACTCACACTTAAATATTTTCAACATTTTCTCCTCAAGTGTGAGGCCGAACTTCATACTCCCCCATAAGTCTCTTCTCTTTAAGTATTGGAGTTACATTAACCTTTTACGTAGGAGCCCAAAACCTATTACGAAGGATACATCTAACAAAGGACCCAAATGATAAATCATAATAAGTGCATAATAAGTGGACTGACGTCATATCTTAACCCAAAATCTTAAGGCTGTAATATTTTGCATTTATATGATGGGAAACGTGTTTGTCTTTTTAAATGACACAACTTATGTCATTTCACTCTCACACAGAAGTGGAACCCATACCTTTATATTTTTTTGTCCACTCTCTCTCCTTCTTTATCTATCTCTTTCTCTCACTTAAAATGACACAATTTTACATTCTTTAAAATAATACACACTTTTCCCTTATATGATATTCAATTGATCTATGTCTAGCTAATGTGGGACTTCACATCACTACTCACACTTAAATATTTCCGACAACTATTATTCTTAAACTAAGCTATCATTTTATTTTATGTCTGCTTGAATTTTCTACATGCTTTTGTTTTTGAAAATACAGTTTATGGCACTGACCATGTTAATTTTTTTCATCCTCGTAATCCCTAATCCATCATAATTCGATCCCGTAGAAGCACTTTGTCAGAATGCAATACAGGTGAATAATGATGCTTTTTCATTCATATATCATCTTCCTCTTTAATGAGGTATATATACAAGTGTACAAAACAACTCTCTGAATAATAATAGGAAAAATATCCTAACAACTCTATCCTATTCAATCTGATCACAGTGGTTTTAAAATATAAACAACTTTGTAACAGTAATTTTAAAACAACTTTGTAACAGTAATTTAAATTTACAAACTTCCTTTCAACACTCCCCCTCAAGTTGGTGCATGTATGTCAATCATGCCCAACTTGTTAGTCATTTCTTCAAAGGCTCTTCCTGATACGGCTTTAGTTAGTACATCTGCAATCTGTTCTTCAGACCGTAAATAGGGAGTTTGAATAATCTTTCCATCCAACTTTTCTTTAATGAAATGCCTATCTATTTCAACATGTTTTGTTCTATCATGTTGTACAGGGTTGTGGGCAATGTCTATTGCAGCTTTATTGTCACAGTATAAGTTCATAGGTTCTTCATA